GTCACGTGATTTCTCAGAGTCTGAAGACTGGTTTTCTTTTGTTGTTGTTTTGTTTTGTTTTTCTTTTTGCCAGTCCTGGGGCTTGAACTCAGGGCTTGGGACTGTCCCTGAGGTTATTTTGCTCTACCACTTTAGCCACAGCACTACTTCTGGCTTTTTCAGTTTATGTGGTACTAGGGAACTGATCCCAGTGTCAGTGGTAGAATGCTTGCCTTGCATGCATGAGGCCCTGGGTTCGATTCCTCAGCACCACATAAACGGGGGGGGGGGAGCCAAAAATGGTGCTGTGACTCAAGTGGTAGAACACTAGCCTTGAGCTAAAGAGCTGAGGGACAGTGCCCAGGCCCAGAGTTCAAGCCCCACAACCGGCAAAAAAAAAAAAAAAAAGTAAGATCTGGCTATACTGCCCTAAAGCAAAGTATGCTGGATCTGAGCACCAGATTTGAGTGATCACCCCTCAAAACATGGCTTTAAGCTCCCAACACACCATAGACCACAGAGCTGCTACAGTCCTTTATGTACCTGGCTGCAGGGGACACTGGAGTTTGTGGCTCCAGATGTTGATGCTATAGGTATGTTCATCTCAATTAACTGAAGCTCAGAGGTAGTAAGTAATGTGCCTGAGGTCACACAGCTACTGGTGGGCTGGCTTCAGAATAACATTTCTTGTCTCTTTGTTCCTTTGCTTTTCCTAAAACCATGTTCCCAAGCATTCAGTCCAGTGCTGACACATTGTGGGGGGAGGTATTCAATAAACAGTTCTCCTCCCTATGAGGGAAACTGTCTAGACCAGGAACTACACCCACGGTCTCAGAGAACAGGACAGCTATAAAGACATAGCCATCTATCCCTTTGCTTGCCTTCTGGTAGAGAAAGAAGCAAGGGAAAAGTCATGATGCCCCAATAGGAAGCTGAAGCTCCCTCTCACTGGGTGTCCTGTCCCAACAGCCCTCTGCTTCACAGAGCCCTGGCTCCCATCTCCTCCTCTCACCCCCTTCCCCTTCCCCAGGCCTGGAGCCCTTACATTGAACATGTCCTTCCAACCGCTGGTGCTGCCTGAGAGCAGGGTGTCAGGCCGGGCCAGGCCAGCGTTGTTGATGCAGATGTCCACGCCACCATGCTGTGAGCGGACAGCTGAGAACATGGAGAGGATGTCCTCCTCATTGGACAGGTCACATCTGTAGGGGATCAAAGTCCCGGGGTAGCCTGCACTCTTACATTCAGCAGCCAGCTCCTATGAAACCCAACAGGGGTCTAACTGGGGTGAGCTGCTCAGTCCCGAACCCCCACACCCAGAATCAGATTTCCTCCCCAGTCACCACTCAGAATTCTCTCCTCTGGCAGCTGCCTTTTGGCCTCATAGCTGTGAGGCCTGCCCATCCCCAAACAATGCTTGTCCTATTTGGTCAAAGTCCAGGGGTTGACGGAAGGAGGGGGAAAGTGGAATTCAGTGGAGGAAGCTCCTCAAATCTTTCAGTTCTCAGGAGGGAGAAATGGGCAGGGATCCTGGAAATGAACAGAGACCCCCACCTTGTGCTTCTTGCTACCAGTGCCAAGGATCCCTGAGTTGTTAGTCTAAGTCTTCAGTTCTTCCCTTATCTTCCAGTGTCAGACAGTACCTCTTAAAGCTCTGAACAACCCCCCCACCCCGCAACAAATAGTTTGTCAGAACCCAAAAGTTAGCTCTCGCACCTTCCAATGAAGTCCAATAACCAATATTCTGTCTCCCTCATTCTACGAGTGGGCAGGACATTGGAAGAGAGTTTTGTTTCTTTAACACCTGGTGTACTACCCTCCCACCCCATGGTTTCCTTGGAGGTGAGGCAAGTCAAATGGCACTGAACACCCCTTGGGGATCTTCACAGCCCTTGACACTTTGAAGAGCCCTGCTAGAAAGACCTGAGAAAAGAGAGCCCCAGGGAGATGGCTGTGGGGGGGAGCTGACATTGAGAAGCAGGGAGAAAATAGCCTGCATGGCCTTGGAGGCCAGCAACTGGGTACTGGAGCCTTGTGAAGGTGACTGTGTGCATCTGGGGGAGGGGGAGGGGTGCAGGGCGCCCTAGAGGAAGGCCAGTTTGGCTAGCTGCCCTGGCCTGGAGCCCCTTCCTTCTCCCAAACCAAGCTAAGAATAAAAGGCTGGGTCAGATGACCAAGGAAGTTCTTTTCTGCTACAACTTTCTGTGAGTTCAAAAGGTATTCTGTACTGGGACTCAGAAGCAACTCTACCCACCCACCCATTTCACTATTCATGACTACCTCAGGGAAGTCTTTCTTTCTTTAGTTCTTTCTTTCTAGAAAGCTCTGCCTAAACTATGCATTAATATCAGTCAATGACTCAATCAATAAAAGCAGATGGTGGGCAAAGAAGCCTGTGATCTTTCCCTTCCCCTTCCAGTTTCAGTCCCCACTGGAATACTGGGATGGAAGGCTGAGAATATATTTCTTCCTGAGTCTGCCTTCTCACTGCCCCAGCTACCCTCAAAAATACCCTTGAGGGGCTGGGAAGGTGACTCAGTGGTAGAGTGCTTGCCTTGCATGCATGAGGCCCTGGGTTCGATTCCTCAGTACCACATAAGCAAAAAGAAAAAAAGCCGGAAGTGGTGCTGCGGCTCAAGTGGTAGAGTGCTAGCCTTGAGCTGAAGAGCTGAGGGACAGTGCCCAGGTCCAGAGTTCAGGCCTCATGACCAGACCCCCCCCCAAAAAAATACCCTTGAAATAATGGCAGTCCTCTCATAGCGACCACATTCTCTCCTCAGGACAGTCATCCTGGGGCTGAGTGATCTGTTTGGGGATCCCACTGAGATTCAGAGATCCCTTTATTGGCTAGCTTGGGTTAGAGTAGAAAAGAAGGACAGAGTGACTTCAGAACTAGGGAGTCCAGCTGGCCAATCCTTGGCCCAATTGTCTAGGCACTAAGGCTGGGACTGGGCCCCAAACTTCTAGGAATAAGAGACAGGGAGGGGCAGAATGGAGCAATGGTGGAGCCAGATGACCTTGGGATTATCTAGGTGGTTATAAAGTATACCTTTGGTCAACAGCTATAGGGAAGGGATAGTCCTTCTTCCTGTACATTTCTCTACCTCCACCCAGCACCTTTTTTTCTACCGAAGGACTTTGAACCATAATGGTGATCAAGCCCTAAAGCTAAGGATTAGTCCACACTGGAGAGTGGTCCCTGCCAGGATAAACCCCAAAACAACCTATAATTGGCCATTTCTCTTGTCTTCTTCCTCCCTGTTTACAAATGGCCAACTCTTAAGAGAAAAAACTGTTAAGTTCTGGATCCACATTTTCTTTGTCCCCTCAGAGTTTATATGTTCAGTACCCTACTTCACCTACTCACACCATCTAGGAGACAAGATTGAAGTTCACCAGTAGATACTCCATTCATGTGCACTGGGTGGCTTAAACCTCAGATATGGACTGGACAGAGAGCTCTTCAGAGAAGCTCCCATTCCAACCCCACACTCAGTCCTGGCTCACGTCTTCATTTTTGGTACTGCTTGGAACAACACACACACACACACACACACCACCCCTAGCCCTGCTCATTTGGTTGGTCAGTACTGCTTGGGGCAAGAGGAATCCAACCCTAGCCACTTAGGACAGAAAGCTTTCTGTGCTGAAGGTAGGAGCCTGCCCTAAGAGATCCAGAGGGCATCTATCAGCCCTGACTCTAAGCCCGTTGCAAATGGGCCTGGGGTGGCAGGCAAGTGAGGGGAGGGCCACCGCCGGGCTCTGGTCACCCTTCCCTAGCTCTACCCCGCCCAGGCGGCGTTCCCCACAGTGCCCCCTCTCCCAGCTGGGGCCTTACCTCGATGTTGCCCACGGTGCGAGCACAACCCACCACCTTCAGTCCCTGCTGTACCAAGGCCCGGGCCACCGCCGCGCCGATGCCCCCCGAGGCTCCTGTCACCAGTGCCAGCCGGTCGCGCCACCTCTCCATGCTGGCCCTGGTCGTGGTCCGGAGCCGGCCGGTCACCTCGCTCGGCGACCCGGGCGCTAGGACCACCGAGCTTCGTCCGGAGTCGTCGGGGCTCGGCCGCACCCTGATCACTGCCCCGGCAGCCGTCGTCAACTTGCCGGAGTCCAAGCCGCGCCTCGACCCACCCCCACGCTGGCTGACCTCGGGCCCGGGCTCCACCCTCCGGTCCTCCGCGGAGGACCACATCCCGAGGAGGACGGCCGCGGCCTG